GCTATCATGCCCCCCCCCGAGAAAGGATCTCAGGTAGCCCAGGCTGACCTTCAACTCAGTTTATTTTGTGCTGCTGGGAATCAAACTCAGGACTTCATACATGTTTAAAAAAAAAAGGCATTCTACTAACTGAACTACGTCCCAGCCCTTGCTGTGTCTTGAAGGGAGAGTCTGAGTTTCTGTCACAGACCTTCCACCTGTGTCTGAGACTGCTTCCCTCGCCCTACCCCCCAGTAAACATTGGGCTCCTGCCACAGGCACTTATGAATGAACACAAAGATTTATATCCATGGAGTAAGGCTCAGCAGTTTCCCTAGACAGTTGGCATGTAGTGTGTGCAGGGCCTGGAGGGGGCATTCACGGGGAGTGTTGTTCTCTGGAACATGAATCTATTGAGCATGGAGCCAATCAGCTTTCCCAACTGGGTAGCCTGGGTGCATGCCGACAGTCTAAACGCGAATAGTCCTAGTACTAGCCTGTGTTCATTCCAGATTCACTGTCAGGTAACCAGAAGGCCAACAGCCAGGGCCATGATCATCCTAGCACCCTTAGTGAATCAGCCATGCTGACAGGTGGCTTCACACAAACTATCAGCCACCGGAGTGCGTGGGGGACACCGCAAAATCAGGACACAGCCCTTTTACCTCCTGTGACTGACATGTCCTAGGCCTCTATGGGGCTTTGCGTCTGGGTGTCTGGCAGAGGAGAATGCCCTGGGCATAAAGGGCTTCACCCCTGTCCTTGGGGGAGGCTGATGGTGATGGCTGTGCTTGCCTTTCAGTACAAAGTCTTGTCCGTCCTCCCTGGCTCAGGCATGGGGATTGCCGTATCAACTCCATCAACCCAGAAAGTAAGTGCCTGGCAGATGAGCCCACCCCACCCCATCTGCCACCAGGGGACCTGATTGAGCCTCCCAGGGATGTGGTTTCAGTTTGATCAGAGGCTCCTTTCTCCCTCAGCACAGGAACCTGCTGCATGGGGTTGAGGTCCAGCAAGTTTAGCTCGGGTAGGTGCCATAGAGTTACAAGACAGTCAGGTTGGTGAGGCCCAGAAGGAATGGATCCTGCATCCATCCACATAGGAAAGGCTGGGCTCCCTTATAGGCTAGAGCCTTCCAGGTGAGAGGGGTGTCCTGATCTTAGCAGGGTCATTTTAGCCCCAGCCTGGCTATAACGTGCTCACTCCCCCACCCCTACCCCGCCCTCTATTTCTTCCCACCAGCCCCTGGTGTTCGGCGCCATGGTGCACAGAGATGAAGCCTTTGAGACCATTTTCAGCCAGTACGTGAAAATCACGTCTGCAGCAGCCTCTGGCGGTGACAGCTAGTATTGACTCCGAGGTGTCGCTGGAATCCTTTCCAATCATTGGCTAGAGGGTCAGATGGGATGTCCTTCTCATCTTTGGCAATAATTCTCCTGGACTGTGGCTGGTTATGGCGGCCTGGGTTCTGCAGACCTAAAGGGCTGGGACTCAACTGGACAGTGCCGGGCTGGCCCGTGCTGAGCGCATGAAGCACCTTCGAGGACACCTGTGGACCCAGGTGGACAGAGGATCCTCTTAACCCGTTTGAAGGATGGCACGCAGGCACTCGTCCTCAGGCCCTGCTAAGCACAGCTCTTCATTCTCCATCCCGGCCTGGGTACAGACCCAGCACCTGCCATCGTGAGAGGTTCCATGATCCCATGACCCCTGTTCTGCAGAGGCTAGAGGCTTTTTTCCATCAAAGCTGTAGCCGGGATGGTAAGACAGAAGTGGTGGGGAGGCCCCTTTCCGGTGAAGAAATGACCAGTCATCTCACTCGGCCCTCAGACCCTCCTTCCATGTTGGATCTACTATGGGCACTGCAAGGCTGTGAGTAGGGCCTCTCAGGGCTTGGTATGTTTGGGGTACCTCCCCATTTTCAATGTCTAGGCCTGAGCTGTCACTCATCTGATCCATCTTGGCTTGGTATTCCAGCCAAGAGACCAGGCCAGTGGTTGATGGCCAGCAAGGGTCCAGAATGGCGTGTTGGCAAAAGCACACTTTTTTTTTTAAGACACTTGGCTTTTCAGGAAGGTTTTGAGGGCATTTTCCCCTCCAGCTGCTGTTCAGTGAGAATCAGTGGTAGTCTGGCTGGCGTTTGGCCTCCAGGCTGCAGCCCCTCCAAGTAATGGGGTGGGCTCAGGGGGCTGACCAGGGAGATCGGTGAGGGCCCTGTGCCACAGGAGATAACCGTGGGCAGAGCCTAGAGGTTGGGGGACCGAGTTGCCCTGTACCTCTAACATCTAACAGTATTTCTCTTCCTATATGCTCAGCAAGGGCCAGGCAGACCCCACCCTACCCATGCTTCCTGCCCCAACCAAGGTGGAGATGGCCGGGGTGGGTGATCTTGCAGGCCCCTGGGACTCTGAAGGGTGCAACCACCCCCCACCTGGGCATTTTCTGGGTGGATCACTCTGACTCCTTCAGCTTGTCCTGAGTCCTTCAGGTGTCACTGAGATCGTTTTTTTGAAGAAACAGAAGATTCTATTTTTTACAGAGAGCAAGCTGTTTTTTCTTATTTTTGTATCATTTTTCAAATGTAATTTTTACCTTTGCTCCAATCCTCATATGCTGGTGTGGGTGTAAGGCCTGGTGGCTTGGGCTCATGACACCCCATTCCCAGGGCCTTCAGGCCTCACACTGGGGTTGGGAAAGGCTTGCCAGGCAGCCAGATCAAGCACACATACCACCCCAGATGTGCCACAAAGGCCTCACAGCTCCAGGTACACAGGGGAAGGAGTCTGAACGTGGAGGCGGGCCCTCCTCCACCCGGGGCTGTGACTTGGGCCTCTGTCATATGCTCGTGCTCTGAAGAGCATGGCCTGTGATAAGAGAGGACCTAACATGCCAGAGGGGAGGAAGCATGGCCTCTGACCTGTCCTCTGGGGATGAATGTGTGGGTGATGCCTGCACATGGTGTGGTGGTTAACACTTTCTGGAACCTGGCAGTGCCGGGGTTGGTGAATGCTGCCACCGAGGTGCCACCCAGAGACGTTGAGCTGAATGGGCTTTTAGGTGGAACAAGAGGTTTAGTTGGAGTCTCTTTCTCTTGGAAAGAGAGATGAAGACTGACCACGGCCAAGGGGACAGGGCTGGGCCAGGGGCCTGTGAAGGTGATGGCATACTTAGAGACACTGAGGTTTTTACTGGATTGTGTGATTTGAGCAAGTGTTTAATTTCTAACTAATCACTGACCTAGAATGTTCGATTTCATATGTCTGAAGCTTGAGTCTGTTTTGGATCTGTACATAATTGTTATTGGTGTAACTTTTGTTCTACAAAAGGATCATATTCTATAAAGAACTGATAGGAAGAAAAATCCTCTTGTCACTTTTTTTTAAAAAGAAAAATCTTGTTTAGATACAAAGTCTTGTATAAATTATAATTTTTATTTAATAAACCTTAAAATGCTCTGTGCTAAGGCTCGGGTGCCTCTGTTTTTGGCAGCTTGTGTAGATGTTGGTTGTTAGGGCACCAGGGTTGCCACCCCCCCCACACACACACACAAGGCTGACACCACACTAGAGTCCTCTTGGCCACCATTGCAGCAGGATTCAGCATAAAACCGTCTCGGAGAATGAAGGCTTGGGTATGAAATGGGGTCCTGGTAGTAGGTGCTGTTTGCTCTACTGTACCCCCTGGTGTGAGGGATGCTGGGAACACAAGGTAGACTCTGGGTCCCAGAAGATGGGCCACAGGAGAGGTGGCTGGCCCTGGGTATGTGAGGGGGGCAGTCTGAACCAGGCAATGCCTTGGGGTTGTGGTGTAGGCCTTAGGCTTGTTGAGCTGTGATCTCTGCCAGCCTGGGACCCTGAGCAGAAGGGTCTCTGGCAACACTGTGACTTTACTGGTTCAGATGCTGACATTGGACACAGAGGGTTACCAGGAAACCTGAGAGTCAAACCTGGAAAGGCACACTGATGGTGCCTGGCCCACCCCTGCCCCAGTGCCATCCCTGTTCCAGCCTCACCCCTACACTAAATGTGTTCCAGTAAGCAGGACTGGCCAAAACCTTTTGAACAGGGCTAGGACCAGTGGGTACTCAGGAATGTGGCCATAGGAGGTTGGACATTTGCACCGACCCATCCTTACATTGATCCATCTACCTATCTATCCTCCATACACATATATTTCACACACACACACACACACACACATTTCTCTCTCTCCATCCACAGCATACACTGTCTTTTGTCCCGGGATACAGTTCCCTGGGAACCTGGCAAATAGGTACTCTCAGCTCTCCTGAGAGACACCCCTGTGACATTGTAGTTACTCCTCACTCATCCTCTCGGGCCCTCTGCAGTCATCCTTCCTGCACCCGTGGCTCAGCCTCTCAGCTGTATAGCGCCACCATGCCTGGTGGGGTTTGATCCCCTCATCTGGTTTCCTTAGGCCAAGTGGAGTAGGTGAGGGCAGTGGGTACTGACCCGCACATGTGCCACCGTGGCTGGGCGGTCCAGAGACAGGGTGCTCATGTTCAACCCAGCGCAACTGTACTGTGTGAGCATGGTTGGATCACTGAGTCACGACGCAACACCTGGTAGATTTCTTTTAGGCAAATGGCAGAACCTACTAGCTAAGTAAATATGCTAATGAGAGACATATGGAAGCCATTCCTCAATTGTTTTTGTTTTGTTTTGTTTTGGTGTTTTTCGAGACAGGGTTTCTCTGTATTGTTTTGGAGGCTGTCCTGGAATACGCTCTGTAGACCAGGCTGGTCTTAAACTCACAGAGATCCGCCTGCCTCTGCCTCCCGAGTGCTGGGATTAAAGGTGTGTGCCACCAATGCCCGGCGGGATTCCTCAATTGTTAAAATAGCAGCAGAGCAGCCCTTGAAGGGGATGAGGGACAGGTAGAGTCCTCAGGGAGGGCACAATCACCCAGTCTCTTAGCACAGATTGAGTAAACTACATTTTCTTTTTTTTTAATCTGCTTTCAAAATAAGAACTTATAAAGAGGGGGGGAAAACCCGTCAATTCTGCCCAAAGTTAACTTTATTTTTATTTTTTGTCTTCTCAAACATACCAGATCAAATATGCCACTTGCTAATCTTGAAGCCAGCAAGATCAGGAGGCATATTCGGCCCTCCTCGTGTCGGTGCTCCTGGGTCCAGGAGGATGTACTGAGGACTGAAGCAGCCAGGGGGAAACCAGCTGCTCCCCATTCCCACTGCTTCATTTTGATAAACAAGAATAAGTTACCACCTAGGACTGCTGCCTAACTGTTGTGCACCAGCGGCCCACAGAGGGAGTTAAAACATGAACCAGACCCCCTACAGGATCCTAAGTTGCCACTGTCTAATCTTTACTCCTAGTCTTTTTTCTCCTAAAATAACTAAGGCCTGGGGTGGGGTATTGCATCTAAAAAGCATCATGGAGACTGTAGTCTACTGCTTGGGAATGTCAGGGGGCTCCCCCCCCACCCTGTGCACAAGTGTCAAAGGTCATAAGTGTTTTGACACTCATGATGCTCCATGATAGTGCCAAGGTTTGAGATTCTGTGCGTGGCTTGCACTGCGAAATCCTATCAAAGCATCCTCTGTTTGGATCCCTTAGAACTGGCAGTGGCAGGGGTGAACCAGGGCATGGGCATCGTGTAGCAAGGCCAATGAAGACCCGAATCCTTGTGGGAGAGTGCCATTCCTGAGAGTCAGCAGCATCCACAGCTGCCTCAGGTCCTGAGCCCCTCTGGAATGCCAGGGGTGAATGGGCAGCGAGGTGGCCACCCAAGCGTCTAACACTGCTCCAGGGCTGCCTACCTACTTCAAAGAGCTGTTAGTCTTTCTTGACGCCTTTAGGTTCTGCCCATCCAAGAACAGAACTGGATAGAAATTGCTAGGTGCGTTTCCTCTTTCTATCCAGCTTTTCACTCGACCAATCATTAAGTAGCACCACTACACAATTACCTTTAACATAGCCCCTAAATACAGCAGCCTTTACAGCTGCCCTTTTAGCTGGATGGGACCGAAAGCTAAACAGAGAATTCCATGTATGCTTCGAAAGAGACATCAACCCAAGAGCACCTAGAAGCAGGGGCAGCCTGCAGGCTAATGGGACCTGCATTGATGCACTTTTCCCCAGTACAGAACCTAAAACATACTCTTGTAACAGTCAGTGGCCCTCCCCCTTTGCAAGCCAAGTTTAAGTTTCATGTTCTTTTACATGCTTCTCAGATGCCATCGGTCTAGAGACACAGCACAGGCCATACATAGTGTGTGGCTGAGAAGGCCCTGTGGGTCAGGATTGCCTTCCGAGGAAACTGATCATGAGCCCAGGGCTTCAGCCAGAGCAGGTAGCATTCCCCTTGTGGAGACAAAGCAAAGAGCCAAGACATGGATTATATACCCTTCTGATGATCAAGGAGAAAGCTGTCGGTGAGTGCATGGAATAGATGGTGAGGGAAGAATGGATGTGGTCCCTGGGGACAGACACAGGGCTTGCACCAAAGTACCTGGGGGTGACCTGGGGTAACCCACCAGCCCCGCTGAGTGACTGGTGACACTCAGGTGGAGGGTGGTATAGCATCCCCAAAGTACTCTTTATGCATGCCAGTTGCCCTCTGCCCACCCCACCTCCACCCCACCCCCACCCCCAAAGCCCAGCTGTGCCAAGTGCTTTGATTCCAAATGGAGCCTCCTTTTGGCCAGTGATTGACAGACTGCCCTGGCCAGAGTGTACGGGCTACCAGGGTTGATGGAATGAAAACTTCCAGTGGGTACTTCGCTAGATTGCTTCACAGGATGCAGCTGTGTTGGCAGCAGATGTGGGGAATCCTGAGGATGAGACGTCACCCTGGGTGTCTTCTTGCAGTGATGTGGCCCCGCTCTGGAGGCGCAGCTGGGCGGAGGACCTCACTGTATTGAGTTACGGTTGTGGCATACAGCAGGGGCCACTTGGCAATATCCTGATCATAAATGAAGGTTGGTGTAAAGAGAAGGCAAATAGAGCCATCTACTTTCCCAAGCCTGGTCACAGACAACAACAGAGAAAGTCTCACGAGGGGATCAAAGTGACAGGGTCGGTACCCATATGTCCAGATGGTGTAACCTGACTCCTGGGAAGTATTCAGATTATAATGTCCCTAAAATTATTGCAGAATAGCCACTAAAGGCCATCTTGAAATTTGCATGGTCGGCATGGCTAAAATCTAGCAAGCCAATGCCCCAAACCAGCGAGTGTCATTTGCTGAGAACAAGTTATGTGAAAAGCGACTCAGATGCACATAGAACCAAGGAGAGGGTGCCAGGTATGTATACGGAATTATTGACAAAGGTGTCTTTTCTAAAACCAAGATTTACCTATCAAAAATAAATTTCTAAATTTAAATGGATATGTCAACATAATTGGTCTGTAGAATTTTTCTTAAGTAACTTTCACACTCCCAAGCTCAAGGCAGATGGCTTCTCAGCTTTGGGACTCTTGCTTAGGACACTTCTTCAATTCCCCGAGCAAAGAGGCGCACCAGCTGGCAGTGGACCCTGCAGAGACAAACAGCTGCATTTAAACTTCACGTGTGTTCCACCGCTCACAGCCAACCCGGGCCCCACACGTCCCAGAATCTTACAGCTCTCCCTTAGTCTCCGAATGTGCACAACCACACTAAATCAATAGTCTGTTTGTAAAAGACAACTTGCTTTATTCTCTCTCTGAGGACAGACTTTACTTTGTTCTCCTATATTGGGTTCTATTCCAATACCACTTGTTGGGGAAGAAATGCCCATCACCAGCAAGAGTGGGCATGTGAGCCAGCCTCCCTCCAGCCTACTCATAGCTTGGATGCTGGACACTCAGCCCTAGTTCATGAGGTACGGGGGTAATCTGAGTTCTGAGGCCCAGCATCAACCCTGGGAGCTTGGCTAAGAGTGACTCTGAGCTCCCCTTGGGGACCTAAGTAACTGAATGGGCAATGTCACTCAAAGCCAGCCACCTGCCACTGGACCCTTGCACATGTCCCTGCCGACCACTCTAGGCTTCCGAGGCCCTCAAGGCTGTGTGGCCTCTAAAGGCCCCTCTGAGACTCCGCCTCCTCACCCCACAGCCTCGGGATGTTCTTCCCAATTGCTCTGACTCCTGCCTGGTGCTGCTCATCTCTACCTTGTGCGCCTATCCCTGGCCATGGAGGCCAGATACTCCACGGGGGCATTGAGGGGGTCCGGGACTTAGAAAGTACCCGTGAATCCAGTTTTACTGTTTTTCTAACGAGAGAGAGGGGAGGGTGTGACTATGACAGAGACCAGGGGCAGAATGCAGAGTAGAGGAAAGAGGTCAGCACAGAGGAACCTCAGAATCCCATGGATATGTCTGCAGAATGGAACCATAAAGTCAGCACCTGCCCCATGCAAACATCAGGCCACACAGCTTACACCTGGCATCATGGGGCAACAATGGCTCTTGCTTTCTGCCACAAACCCGGTGAGCTCTTGCCGATGTCTTCAAAGACGGCACTGTGACAGACATCTGGGCAGGTGGCTTGGGTCCTGCCCACTCACCTGACCTCGACGGCAGGGCTGTGTAGGATCTCTCCATCACAGTTCCAGGAGCTTCTAGAGGCCAGGCAGTTGCATGGGGAGCTGTCTTTGCAGATCTGCCCAAATCTCTGCTTCCCGTGTACCTTCAGGTCACTGTCCTCATCTTCCACATGCTTTGATATGAACTGGAATTTCTTGACTCGGTAAACTTCGACAAAAGTGAAGTCAAACTGCCAAGGCAAACATCATGGGGGTGCCGGCCAGTCAGTGAGACCGACCTTCCACCTCTGCCGGCTCAGCCGGCCAGGACTCATGGCCTTGTGAAGACATAATAGAGCAGTGTCTCCAAGCCACAAGTCCTCCTCATGGGGCAACTTACACACAACATGTGTACTGCCCTCCCAGGAGCTTCAGACAACTGCTGATACCTTTGACATCTCAAGTCTCGGGCTAGAGAGATGGTGCAGGGGTTAAGAGCCCACACTGCTTTGTCAAGGACCCGAATTGGGGTCCCAGCACCCACATCAGGTGGCTCACAACCACTTGTAACTTCAGCTTTAGGGGATCCAACAGTTCTGGTCTCCACAGGCAACTGCACTCACGTGCACATACCCAGACAAGCAGACAGACACACATAATTTTAAAAAATCCTCCACAGATATGAATACTCTAAGAACTCTGTGATTTGTAGAATTCTCTGTTTTTAAAAATTAATTAATTGGCTGGGCGTTGGTGGCGTATGCCTTTAATCCCAGCACTCAGGAGGCAGAGGCAGGTGGATCTCTGTGAGTTCGAGGCCAGCCTGGTCTACAGAGTGAGTGCCAGGACAGGCTCCAAAGCAATACAGAGAAACCCTGCCTCGAAAAAAACCAAACTAATAATAATAATAATAATAATAATTAATTGTATATTAGGTTTTTTTTTGCTTACATGTATGTCTATGCCTGGTGCCCATGAAGGCCAGAAAAGGGCATTGGGTACCTTGGAACTAGAGTTACAGACAATTAGGACCATCATGTGGTGCTGGGAATCAAACCCAGGTCCTCTGCAAGGACTACCAGTGCTCTTAACTGCTGAGCCATCCCTCTAGCCCCTTGTTAAATGAAATTTATACAAAGGAACTGACAAGGTTAGCATGTGTGAAACACACATCCAACCATCTGTCTTTCCTTGGAGTTAACAAGCAACGGATCCCACAAACCAGCAGAGCAGGCGTTTCCCAAATACAAATGACCTTGGGGCAGGAGTGTGCACCTCACCTGGTCGTCCTGGTTGGTGTGCCGGACAAGGAACCTCAGGAAGTTGAACCTGGAGCACTTCCGGATGAGGATGAGGTCAGAAGACCCATCCCCCAGATGGGCAGCGGGGGACAGGCCCCCGGGGCTCCGGGGACAAGCACAGGACATGTTGGTGGCATTGATAGCCAGGAACTTGCCACACACCACTTGCCACTCTTCCATTTCCTCTGTAGAAGACAGCAGATGGACGCCGTGGTCAGCGTGGTGCTGAGATGGCTGCACCGCCCCCAAGGGATGGTAGCTGATCTCTCTCTCTTGCTCTCTGTGTTCTTGGCTTTCATTCCGGCCTCACTACCTACCATGGAACTACCTACCACTCACCACGGGACCTGACTAGGTCTTATAAGGAGCAGGTCATTCCCCTACTCCCTGTAAGAGCACTTTTGGACAGCAGTTTAACAAGGGTGAGCAGGCTGTTATGGGATATTTTAACTGGGCAAAGATGTGTTCCGTTTGTCTATGCTGTGGAGTATTACTTTTAAGTGTGAAGGTGTGTTGCGTTTGTTTATGCTGCATTTGTTTAGCAACATAAGGATGTGTGTTTAATGATGTAAAGATGGCTTGTATTTGCTTCAGCTTGCCTAAAGCACCTGACTGGTTAATAGCTAGGCAGGAGAGGGATAGGCAGGGCTGGCAGGCAGAGAGAATAAGTAGGGGGAGAAATCTCGGCATGAGAAAGAGACAGAGAGAGGGAGGGAGGGAGGGAGGAAGGAAGAAGAAGAAAGAAGAAAATGAGGGAGAAAGATGGACAACCCTGGGGACAGAACACAGGCAGTCACCAGCCACTTTCAAGAAGTAGTGAAATTAAGATACCAAAGGAAGAAAGGTAAAAAGTCCCAAGGCAAAAGGTAGATAAAGCGAAACAGGTTAATGTAAGTTAAGAGAGCTAGTGAGAAATGAGCCTAAGCTAGGCTGAGCATTCATAACTAATAATAAGTCTCTGTGTCATGATTTGGCAGCTGTTGGTGGTCCCAAAGAAAAAGTCTGGCATAGCAGACCTCTGTAGGGGTTAATCTGTCCTATCATCTTTTTGTGTGGCTTACAGGCTAAGAAGGGTTGCCTCAGATTTGAATAGTCTGAAAAAATTAAAACAACAATAGCTTGCATGTGAATACTACACAAAACTCCAGCCTCAGCGGTCAGAGACAACGCTATAGGCAGGTGGCACACCCACTTATCCACACACTGTAGTGCCTTGCCATTCTTGCAGGAATAGGGATGTAAGAAAGCCCCTGTGGTGACTAGAGCAGAGGGTACACATTCAGCCAAGCCCAAACAGGATGTCCATAGGAGCTGGGACAGTCAGTCTTGTGACAGCAACTGAAGAAGACCTTTTCATAAATATCTAGATTCCCCAGCATCTCCAAAGTGGCAATGACTCGATGCTGGCCTTGAGCTAGAGATAAAGCTGACACAGTACAAGCAGGGAAAGAGGGAGAGAAGGGCGGACAGCCTGAAGAGGTCACGCACTGAGATCCACACACACGGGCATACACTAAGGGTGGACAGCCTGAAGAGGTCACACACTGAGATCCACACACACACGGGCACACACTAAGAGTGGACAGCCTGAAGAGGTCACGCACTGAGAGCCCCACACACGGGCATACACTTGCAGAGATTACCAGCGTTCTCCAGGCCGTACAGGGCTTTCTTCTGTTCTTCTTCCAGCTGCTGCTTGCTCTGCCTGCACACGAAGCACCTAGAAGACAGTGTGGTCACCGTGCCTCTGGCACATGCACTGGGTACCTTCAAACCCCGCCGCACCGCCCCTGATCACCACACACAGAAAAGCACTTAAACTCTTTTTCAGATCATAAAAGGTTCAAGTTTCAAAGACTCCAACAGAAATTCTTTTTTTGTTTTGTTTTGTTTTTTCTGAACAGGGTTTCTTCTCTATGTAGCTTTGGAGCCTCTTCTGGCACTCGCTCTGTAGACCAGGTTGGCCTCAAACTCATGGAGATCCACTTACTTTTGCCTCCCAGGTGCTGGGATTAAAGGCGTGCGCCACCACAGCCTGGCTTTCTTCAGTAGAAATTCTTTAGCATACTACTTTTGAACTTTCAAGATTAGAACTAAATTCACACCTATTTGTTAGCATCTCCCTTCTCCAAGGCTTGCAAACATCTCTAGAACAGGCTTACCTGCCCAGCCCGGGACGCAGCATTGGTGACGTGAAAAATTCACCAAGCAGCCTTAGAGTCAGTACCTAACTTAGAGCTGAGCCACTGACTTAGTGCACATTTCTCATCTGAGTGTGGGTGCAGCTGGCCTAGTCTTGGACCAGTGCTTTGAGGCTGCAGTTTGGGGAGAACATAACTGCTGTGCACATTACCAGGATGGAGATGTTGGGGCAGCTCTTTTGGAAGCATCTATGAACTGAGAAGCCCTACACAAACCTATGAAATTTAAGAGTCTTCTCTCTGTGTTTAGAAAGCCATTCTGCAGCCACTGTCCTAACAGGAACAGGTTCTCAAACATCCCTGCATATGTCAAGTCATTTACAATGGAAACCCACGTAGAAGTACACCCGCTTACCCGGCCCGGCAAGGTTTCTTGTCCCGTGGAGATCCCACTGTATGCTGTGCTGGGAGGAAGGCCACTGTCCCTTCATAGTACTGATGAGAGAGAAAGGTCTTCAACCCTGGGGAGAAGAGCCAAGAAGGAACGCGCATGTGTCACTGCCTGGTTCCACACCACCGCCACCAAGAGGATAGGGGTCTGGAGAGGTTGGATTCCCAGCACCCACACAGTGGCTCACAACCATCCGTAAATTCAGTGCCAGAGCCGGGCGTTGGTGGCGCACGCCTTTAATCCCAGCACTCGGGAGGCAGAGGCAGGGGGATCTCTGTGAGTTCGAGGCCAGCCTGATCTACAAGAGCTAGTTCCAGGACAGCCTCCAAAGCCACAGAGAAACCCTATCTCGAAAAAAAAAATTCAGTGCCAGAGATCTGACGCCTTTTCTGACTTCTATAGCACTATACGTGAATGTATTGCTCAGACGCACAAAATAATTTTTTAAATAAGACAGAAAGATGAACAGTATGCAGGAGGCAGGAGGGGCCTTGCAGGTGACACTGCTACTGTACCAGGTGACACTGCTACTGTACCAGGAGGAGATGCAGATTCTGCTCTCCCCACAAAGGTCCAAGTACAGCACAATCAAAACCACGGGTGAGAGGTGTGGTCAGGGCTTCAGTCACATATCCTGGCTGCCTTCAAACTGCCAAAGCAGGGTACTTGGCAGCATTGACCTTGCATGAACTCTATGGTTTAGGGAGTGATTTTACGTATAGGTAAGCATTGACCACTCCCGTGTGGGTGTGTTCACAGGTACGAAAACCTTACGGTGATAAACAGAGCTGGGGGAAGGAACTCTTTCCCTTTGGGTTTCAGTTTAGACCTGGAGAGCAGCGTGTGGACAAGCTTTATTGGCTTTTCCCAAAAGTGATTTGCCTTTCAATAAATATCATAGGACATCCCTAAATCTGTGTAGTTTAATATTTCTGCTTCAGATGGTGTCAAAGTGGCTCACCCAGCCCCCAAAACTCGGCTCGGTGAGCCAAGCCCATGGGGTGCTTCAGTGTCCCGAAAAGCAGCAGCTGTGGTTTCGTTTTTCTGTGCGCCAGTGAGCCAGGCCCCGTTTGCGCTGGCTGCTTGGCTAGCGCTGTGCCCTCTCCCCAACCTGCAACCTAGCTCGGAGAATTCTTTGCTAGCGAGGAACCACAAGCACTTCACCAGGCTGCGCAGTGTGCATACCCTGTTCCGCCTGAAAATTTTAACGACTGTTATCTAGCCAAGGGTCTCCCAGTCTGCACAGGCTTTTCCCTCCCCGAATCTGGTTACTAATTTTCTGTACAAGCTGTTTAGACTCTTTCAGCAATTACTCAGAAAAATACTGAGGTTTCGCAGAGGAGCTGTGTTTGGCGGCACACCTCTGCCACCTGCTGGCCAAGCACAGTCATTGCAGGTAAACATCCTTTTCTGAACTGGTGATCATTGGAGGTAAAATTTTGCATTCTGGTAGTTAAGTTTGTAATAAGATTACCAACTCTATACCATGGCAGATAATATTGCGATGCAGAATATTAGATATCTCATTGCTTATTACATGAATAACATCATGGGAGAGGATTATAACATCCCACAAATATATTTATGTCTAATGCTAACAATTAGCTTCATAACCCACATAATATCCTGGAAGAGAGGACTCTATCATAGGGCAGAAAGCAGGGAAATTATTCAATTTATTGGAGAATTAGAGACAAAATTAAAAATCTTCAGGTCAATGGGGAAATTGTACAAATGATTCGAAAATTTGAATAAAAAATTCAGGATCTTCAGGAAAAAGGGAACTTAGCCACCAAAACAGATAATTTGGAACTTAATCAGAACAACCTTCAAGACACATTTAATTCAATGTCCACTGCATTTATGACCAAAATAGAGTCCAGCCAGTAGGAAGTTACCAGATTAGCAGAGACAATTCACTCTATGTCTGAAGACAGTGGCCACCTAGTAGACAGGATGATATTTCCAGAAGGCAAAGTAGACACCTTTAGAACCTCTTGGGACGATGGTATGAAAGGCTTGGAATCACGCTTGACTTATGAGTCCAAGGAGCGTATTAAGTCATTGGAACAATTTTTGATTCAGGAAATACAAGCATTCAGAGATGATATGGTCACAAGGTTGCGATCTTTAGAAGATTCACCATTTGAAACATCAGACACTGAGGCACTAGCCACTAGGCCACCAGGCAATGAAAGAGGTAAACCTACTAGACACCTAGGAGACCTTCCTAAGGTGGCCTTTCCAGTAACTATGACAGAAAGGCCAGCATCACAGAGGAATCAAAATGGGTCCACCACTTACCAGTAGGAACCTATTCCAATAAAAGATTTGAAAGAAAAAAGCAAGTTATTGTAGAGCTTATGGGGTCACAGGCCCTATGTGAAGGAATTGATGAATTCTTGGACAAGAACAAATGAGATCACGCCCACTGATTGGGATAATTTGATATCAGCGGTGCTGGGCCATTCTTCCCAAATACAATGGAAGGCTTTGTGGAGACAGGAACGCAAGGGCCCTCGAACTTCAAGGCTTGAAGCAAGGCTTCCCAAGGTAAGATTCTTGGTGAAGGGGAATATGCTGACTCACAGGCCCAAGCTGAATTTGACATTATATCGTACAGCAGCCCTAAATGCTTTGAATAAGGTTCATGAACCAGGAGGAAAAGTTGAACCATATTCAAAAGTGGTACAGGGTCATAGAGAAAGGTTCCCTGAATTCTTACAAAGATTATCCAGAGCAGTAGACTCACAGGTAACTGATTAAAATACTAGGTGACTTCTTTTAGAATCTTTAGCTTATGAGAATGCAAATCCACAATGCAAACAGGCCCTGTGGCCATTAAAGATCAGATCAGCGCCATTGGACGAATGGGTCTTGTATACAGCTAATATAGAGTATAATGGCCCAGAAACAGGAACCTGGGTAGAAGAGGTAATTTCTAAAGGACTAAAAGGCACCAAGATGACAAATGGCCTAACCGTGAGGAGATACAGACTTGGGTTGGAGAGGCAATCTCCAGAAATTTAAAAAGACATCATAATACTAGATGTTTTAACTGTGGTAAAATAGGACATTTGAGTAGAAACTGCAGACAAAGCGTTCCTAGAAATAATGCTTCTCCTAGGAATGGTTCAAACAGAAGGCCTCAGCTTTCTGGTTTGTGTAGATGTGGCAAGGGATAACACTGGACCAATGACTGTAGGTTGACTATGGACAAACAAAGTAACCCTTTACAATTGGGGAACTCCTCAAGGGGCCTCTAGAAGGCCCCCATATCAAAAGTGGTCTGGTCATTCCCAGTCACTGTAGAAGAAGATTTCTCTCAGGACAATTAGAAGATCCACTGCCTATTGTAAAGACTAATGGCACTATGGATGACAGATTAATTATTAAGGATGAACCAGTCGATACTAGAGGAAATGAAAAATGTGTATTTTGGCAGACCTCTATCAATGACAGGAGGCCAAAATTAAAAGTACAGGTAAATAACATTATTCAGGAAGGCTTGCTTGACATAGGGACAGATATTTCTATTATAACTCAGGAGTCATGACCTAAAAATGGCCTCTACAAGTTGTAAATGTGCAATTGTTAGGTATCAGGACCGTATCTCATGTAAGACAAAGTACTAGATGGGTAGAGTGTATTGAACCAGAAGGACAAAGAGGAAGATTGAGGCCAAATGTCTCAGATATTGCTATAAATATCCGGGGTTGTGATTTATTATAGCAATGGAACACCCAGATTAACATTCCTCCTGTGTCAGATATGAATCATAAGCTGTTAGTGGTGGAACGAATATTGTAAGGCACTATGATAAACAGTCGCAGAATATACATGCTGTACAGTTACAGGATGCTAGTGACACACCTACAGAGGAACCAAAAGCAGTACCTTTAAAACGGCTAACAGATGAACCTGTCTGGGTAGGGCGAAGGCCTATGACCTCTGCAAAGTTAGAGGCTTTAGAAAAAATAGTTCTGGAACAGCTAAATGCTGGACATACTGAAGAATCTACCAGTCCATAGAATTACCCTGTATTTGTTGTCAAAAAGAAGTCTGGGAAATGGAGGATGGTTACCGATCTGAAAGCTATCAACAAGGTAATTCAGCCTATGGGCTCTCTATAGCCACTACCTTCTCTAATACCTAAAGGATGGCCAATTGTAGTTACAGATTTAAAAGATTGCTCCTTCACTATACCTTTACAAGAAAAAGATAGGGAAAAATTCACCTTCACAGTGCCTACTTATAACAATTCTCAACCAGTATAGAGATTTCAATGGAAGCTGTTGACACAAGGAATGTTAAATAGTCTGACTTTGTGCTAGTATTTTGTGCAAAAACCCTTGGAAATAATTCGTAAACAATTTCCACAATCAATAATCTATCATTATATGGATGATATATTGTTGGCTGGTTCAAAAAAAGGTACGTTGGAAAAGATGTTTGAAACAGTAAAGGAAACTTTGCGTCACTGGGGATTACCAATTGCCCCAGAAAAATACAAAGAGGAGATACTATTAATTATTTAGGCTATAAAATAGACTTACAGAAAATTAGACCACAAAAGGTACATATCAGAAGAGATAGTTACCAGATTCTTAATGATCTTCAAAAATTAGTAGGAGAAATTTCACAACTATAGACAATTATTGGAGTAGAAGGGCATGATTTAAAACACCTGAAAATGGCCCTAAAAGGAGACAAGGACTTACATAGTCCTAGAATATTATCATATGAGACTGAGAAAGAATTAGAATGGGTATAGCAAAGGATATTGGAAGCACATGGGGACCATGTGGATCCAAATCTGGACTGCATTCTGGCTATTTTGCCATCTAGAGAATACCCCTCTGGAATATTAATGCAGAGGGAAGACATAATACTAGAATGGGTATTTCTGCCACATAAACAGAATAAAAATTGAAGACGTATACAGAAATGACCTCTGATTTGATATTAAATGTAAGTTAAGCCTTCGTCAATTAACTGGGAAGGACCAAGCAGATATTGTTGTACCCTTAACAAATGAGGAAATTTCCTCCTTATGGAAGGATAATGAAT